AAGGATATGGTTTAGGGGGTAGACAGGGACAGTTGAACATGATGATCTCAGAAGTCTTTTCCAACCAAGCGATTCTGTGATTCCTAGCTCTGTCCCCAAACTCTTGATGCCCTTCAGAACTCAGTAGTGCAACAAATCCAAAATTTGGCTGTTTGCTAATGTTTGTCTGAGATTTATTTTTAGCCTGTCCGCTGCTACATGTCACAGTTTGTGAGAGGGGCTGTGTTTTGTGGATCCAGAGAGAGAAAGAATTGAATGACCTCTAAGATCTATCTTCAAGTTCTTCTAGAAATTAAAGACCTGGTGCAGGAATTAGTGGGTGAATGTATTTGATATACCCTTCTAACCTATGGAATCAGCAAGATACCTGATAATCTGTTCTCCATCTTGCCGTGTCTCCTCCTTACCTATGAGAGGAGTGTGCAAATCCCATTTCTTCTGTTCCTGTGCCAGCCTACCAAAATGGGAAGTCTACCTACTGGTGCTTGCATGGTATTTGCCATTGTAGGAAAGATACTGGTTTTGCCTAGGACTGGGACTGTTTCTCAGGCAGTTGCTTCAAGAACAGGGAATGAAAATGTCAGGCAAGAAATGAGTGGTTGCTCTGATGATCTTTAGCTTCCAGCTTGGCTGACACCCCCAAACAAATGGTGGTAAGAGTAGTCAGGAAAGAGATACCACCTCCACTGTATAATTAAGCATGTCTTCTGTACTTCAGTGATTGCTATCAGCCTTCATAGTCCTTGAAGTCTTCTTTTTCAGGTCCTTACCCTTGTTTAAGGTGATCCTCGTGGCTGTTTTCCCCAAGTACCTCTTCTGTGCTTTCTGTCTTTAGCTGCACTGCCTCAAGGGACATTGTCTACTTCCTCGTGCGTCCCTGTCCCGTTAGGGCAAGCCCTCACTCAGTGTGTGCTGAAATAAAGGTGCACAAAAGAGGCTTTTCACCCTTGCCCATCTCTCTATGAACACATCCTGTAGATGGGACTTCTCATGCTGGACTGGAGATTGGGATAAATTTCTGTCAAAATAAGCCAAGATTTCCTGTAGTAGGATCAAAAGGATCTAAGTTTAATGCCACACTCCCCTTAAAGAGTATGCAGTGCCCACTAAACTGAGCATGCCGAGGGTGGCTGATGGTCTTTCTGTCCTTTGCAGGGAGTCGCTGCTGTATACGCTCGCTGGAGAGCAGCACCGGGGAGAAAAGATGGAGTGGAGGTTGGGCAAGACGACCCACGCTCGGAGGAACCTCTTTGGCCCCGTAGACCACGAGCAGCTGTGGCAGGACTTCCAACACATGCTGCGCAACAGCGTTGAGGGGGCTCAGCAGAAATGGAACTTCGATTTCCTCCAGAACACACCAGTGGAGGGGCTCCTGCAGTGGGAAGAGCTTGAGGGCCATGAGGTGCCCGCCTTCTACCACGGCTGCATGGTGGGAGATGCTCGGAGGCCTCTGCAGCACTTGAACTGGCCCCTGGGCAGGGAGGACAAGAGTCACCACTTTGCCTGGGTAGCACTGACTGAGAAACCCAGAACTCCCAAAACAGGGGGCAAGAGGATCTCGGAAGGGAAGAAAAGACAAACATCTCTGACAGGTGTGTGACACCATGGTGTGGCTCAGACGATCAAACCTGGTCCCAGGAGCTACTTAGAAATTATCTGGGCCCATAACCCAGTCTTGCTTTAAGAGAGTGCAACCCTTCAAAAAAGCATCTGCAAGAGGAGGACGGCACACTCTAAATTGATGGACATGAGGCTTGTGTTTTTCAGAGGTGCTGTGCCACAATCCCCCTGCTGGCCCTGGGGATCTGTTTAGGACTTATCACAGAGCCATAGGATAATGACTGCTTCTTGCAGGAGAATAGTTGGGATGGATAGATCTTAAACAAGACAGGCTAAGTAAAATAGTGAGGTGATTTATCAAGCAGGAGCCCAGCAGGGAAACAGGGTTTCCCATTGGATGGGGGTTTTTAGTTTTCTCCTTGCTTGTAGGTTTGGCTGTGTGCACCCTTTCCCAAGTGCACTGAGAAGCACTGTTCAGCCAGCAAAGCCTTAGGAAGAAGACCAGAAAACAGAAAAAGCAGCCAGGTCTCCTGCTAACTTCAGCTTGAATATTATACTCAAGTGAAGGCATCCAGGAATTTTAAGGGCAAATCGATCTTAAACTTGGCCAGATGGCAGAAGGGGCTAGGTTTTCAAATGCCTCTCACAGGGACTTGCTGCCAGGAGTGGGTTTTGGCACCCATGAAAGAGCTTTAGATTTTTGAAAGTCTTCAGCATCCTGAGTGCTAAGTTCTTCTGAACATCTGGCCCCTCATTTTCTCTTCTCAGCGGAGTTTGAGCTTGTTTGAGAAGTTTAAACTTGTATATTGTATTTTCCTTGTGCATATTGGAGTTTTGGTTTATCAAAGACTTAGGTTTTCAAGATCTAGACCAAGGGTTTTCTTTTGGGAATTTGATGTGAGACACCAGCTTGGAATTGCCTAGAAGATAATTGAAGCTAAGGTTTCAGGAAACACTTTCTGAACAGTACAGTGATGTTGACCTTGGTTAAGTCAGACAATAGACTAATTTGCTATTTGAGGGTATGAAACTTAATTGCTAGCGAGAAGTTCAGGAAGAGGTTGGAGATTAATGGAGAGTTGAACATTGCACACTGGAGTACAGAACAATGATATTTAATGAGTGCTCTTTTCTCCTCCAAAGCACTTTACAGCCATTAACTAATTAACAGTATAATTTACAGGTAGGAGTACAGAAGCATAATTCAGAGCACAATGTTGTGATGGTTTGAGGGAACTTCTGTTCAATTGTAAATCTCTCACTAGGTGTGTGGGAGTAAATTATGCAGATATTTCCAGGGGATATTTTTTCTTCCGTTTTGTTTTCCCCAGGCAAGAAACATTTCATCAGGGGATGTGGAAACCAAAATACCACGCTCCACATTTTAACACTTTCCCACGTGTGTTTTCATAAGAGAAAACACTTTAGTCTAACAACCAGTACCCTTCTCCCCAGGGAATCTGAGTGTGCGAGATGGGCTAGGAAAATTTGTTTGCAGTCTTTTGGTGAGGCTTAGAGATCAGGCCCTCTCTCAATCCTCTACACACATCCTTACTGCCAGCTGAAGAGTGTATTAGAAATTTCCCTCTAGCTGCAAGAACCTTGTCCCTCTGGGCACGACTGAAATAATTCAGGCAAAACTGAGCTAGGGAAAGTCCTACCTACTGATGCAGTCTGACCCCACACTTCCACCCCTTCGCTCATCTTCTGCCAGCCTGTAATGAAAGGTTGGTTTAGGACTGGGGTCTGAGGTTGGATTTATACCCAGTTATCAGCATTCTGTTTTGGTCAACAAGAGCACTGCAGTGCTTTATATTAAGATCCAACAATGTGCATTTAATTTAAACCTTCAAAGACAGCTGTGGCACATTAAATAAATATCAATATATCAATAACCAGCCATGGGGTTTTGTGGACATTGGCGCCTCCAGAGTGGAAGCAGCAGAGGTTTTCCTGCTGTATTTGACTCCTCAGACATGCAGGGAGCTAAGCAGTATGAAAGCAGATTTTTTTTCCTTCTTTCTCTCAACCTGTTAATGTATACATATTCTATCTCCATTCTCTCTTTTCTTGTTTTGACCCCAATGTGATTCTGCTCTATTTTTTAGGAGAACGTCAAAGTAAAAAAGCAGCTCATACATAGGCTATAAGTCTTTTTCACTTTTTCCTTTTTAATCTTTTTTCCTTTTTTTTGCCCCCCACTAACCAAGGTTGGTGAACCATGCCAGCTCTTCACTCCTCTTCCAAACCTTTTGGCTTGCCTGAGTCTGATACACTCAGACCTTGGCTTTCCTTGGAGACATTCATAAATCCTTGCCTCCTGTGCTAAAGGTCAGATTGAAAATTGGTAAAAGTCCTGTGGTTTTGCTAGCTTGTCTTATTTCTGAAGGAGATAGTTCTTGCAAGATCAATGGGAGAACATGAGGAGTAAAGGAAAGCAGGTATTTAGGCAGGTATAGTTAAAGAACAAAAATCTTTCCCTTCTAGGTCCCTGTGGCCAAGCTTCCCTACTGACAAGCAGCAGGCAGCATCCTCCTCAGTACCTTACCTAATGCTAGTGCAAGTGCTCTTTAGAGTCCCCCAGGCAAACCAGCCAATTTCCAGGGATCCTGTTTAGCATCTTAGATGGAGGCTTTTAAGTGCTTCCAGCAGTTTTGAAACTAGGCTCCATTATGTGGGTGTCTGAGCAGCTGGGTTCTTGCTAAAATTCTTCACGGGCAGAAATGGGAGTACTGGCTACTGAAGTCTTTTTTGAATTTCATCTACTAAGCATAGTTCCTAGTGCATCTCTTCTCCCAAAATAAAACAAGAGAGAGCTGCATAGAATTTTTTTAAATGGAAGAAATAAGTAGTAAGGATTACATTTGAGAATGTAAGCTTTTTTTTTTACTGCTGTTCCTTTGCTGCTCCACTGAGACTGCAGCAGGTTATAGTAATAGAGGGATTTGCTTTTGTGCTGAGTTAGCAGTGCATGCTTCTGTCTGGGAGAATATGCTCCCCTTGGGATCACATCCTGCTCCAGAAATTTAACTTAGGGGTAGGTCAGGTATCGCTGTGCTCCATGCAGACGTACCCGTAAGGAAGTTGTCTGCAGGAATCTCCTTGCACAAACTTGGCTGTGAAAGCCTATAGAATTCCAGTCATCCCACCAGTGCTGTTCTGCGTTGAAATTAATGCAAGACTTTACACTGCTACGACTCGATAGGTGTTGCAAATTTAATTTGACTATACAGAAGGGCTTAGGTTTAAATATCATGGAGCTCACATCCTCAGCTGAAATTGGAGTGAATTCGTTGCTATGAATACAGACAATTTACACCAGGTAAATCCCATGTACTCTACATAAAAATAAGCATCTAGCTTCCATTTCAGCTGATTCTGCCTTATTTACCTGAAACAAAGTGTGTATTTTTAGTGCAAGGCAGGAAGTCAGAGAAGGAACTCATAGGGAAACTCCTGTGTTGCAGTCGCAGTTCTGTAGTTAAGGTTGATACAGATTTTTGACCTGATACGTGAAACAAAGATTCAATCACGTGTACATAGGAAGATGTAATGGATATTCTCCTCATGAGCCACAGTGCTTAGTCTCTGAGCAAAGAATCGGTTATAATTCAGTGATAGTGCAAGGTTTTCTGCAGTCCTCCTTGAATCTGCAGTTTGATCTAATAAGCAGAAATAAAGTGCCCCATGTATATATTTCTGATGTTACTTTGAGGAGTGTTTTTTATTATTTTTAAGGAGGAAAAAAACCCCAAAACTATTTCTGCCTGGAAAGCACTGCAGCCGTGGATCTGAAAGTTGGAGTGAAATGTCACATTGCTCAGCTTGCATAAGAGGGTCCAAAGTCTTTTCATCTAAACTCAATAAAAGCCAGCACATTTCCTTTGTTTTGTTTGGTATTACACAGCTTTATGCGGAACATGCTAAAGGTATTAGTTTTGTTCCTTCACAAGCCGTAGAGAAGTCTGAAGGAGATTTGAGAGATTCCTCGAAAAGCAGCCGTTGTCAGTGTCGTAGCCCTAATTCTGTTCATGTGGTGTTCTCCAGATTACTACTCAGCAAAGAAGCGAGTCAAAACGAATATGCAAGCTGCTGCAAAGAAGTCAACTTCTTGAAAACAGGGAGAGGATTGCTCTACACCGGAGAGGCTGGAAACATCTGCCAACTTCCTCAACCTTTAAAAATGGGATGTGCAGGCTGCGAACATTTAGAGACATCCCACAGAGATGTGTTCCTGACAGCAGCAGTGAAAATGGAAAACGCTCTCATTGGGATGGGGTCAGGCCAAATCAACTGGAATCGCTTTGGTGAGAAATTGCTGGCCATAAAAGCCAACTGGTAAGCAAGTTTGGACACTACAGAAATTGGCTAAGGTTAGCAGTTTAATGTGCATTAAAAATCACTGTACATGAGAAAAGGTTAAACAGGTAAAACTGTATTCATGTAATAATGTGCTTGGACAAGTCACTGTGCGGTTGAGGTGTTTGGTATTCTCACATCTTTACATACTCTCTTTTTTGGTTTTATCAGGGATGGCTTACTAAGTTTCACCGTCTCAGCTTTACAGGTCTGACACACTGAAAAAAAATTCCCAGCCCTTTCTGTATTTTTTTTTTCAGGCACAGGATCTTGTGCTTGCAGGTGTTCAGGGCATGCACAACAGTGCTTGAGTGCTGAGCATATATATTTTTGGGATGTAAATGGAGAAAGCTGAAATTATTTGGGAAAGTTTCCATTTATATCAGCAGGCATTTTAGCCCTGTATGTCTGCCTCACACACAAGAATTAGGGACTTAAACTTAAATGTAGCATGGGTAGATATTTGCAGAAATATTCTTGTGTCTTTCAAGTCATTCCTGTTCCCAGCTGAGCCAAATCCAGCCTTTATTTTGGGTTGTGCTGTTCTATTTAGGTCTATGAATTTGAATGGTGAAAATTAAGATTAAAATTACTGTGCATTTGTCGACGGTGTTTTAAAATGCCTGCTGCTTGTAAGAACATAGTAAGAATGAGGGAATTGCCATTTTGTGCTTTTTATTCATGCTACTAATCGTTCTATAGGAAGAGAAAGGGCATTAATAACACCGAAACGTTACACTTGCAACAGTCTTGGTGTTGCATGGACTGCTTTTCTGTGGCATTTGTTAACATACACGTTTCCATCACCTACTTTTTATTTCCCTTTTTTATTCCCCTGACTAGTTGGGATAACTGAGGTTTTATAACACATAATAATCAGTGGGTAACCCAGAAAAAGAAACTTACAAAATATATGCTCTAAATTTTACTGCTGCATGTGGCCTTAAAATGCATGCAGTGTTTAATGAACTCATTTGGAAACAGCTCTGCAAATGTCAGGTTTTTAGAATGACATGAGATAATGGACTGCTGCTTTTTGTCTCAAATCTAAACAACCTAAAGTTATCTTGGGTAATAAAAATTAACATGAACACGTGTGTGTGTCAGGTGTATGGATGAGAACTGGTGTAAGCAATTCATACATCCTGCATCATCCTGCAACATCAAGAGGGTTTAGTGTGTTTTTTCTCTATTTCCTATTAAGAGCTACAAATGTTTAGACATAAATAATAGTTGGTTTTCCCCCTAAGTGGCACAAGACAGTGATTTCAGTCCATTTCTGTATGCTGAGATAAAGATATTTAGCAAATTCCAGGCTCAGAGCCTGTTTCCAGTTATATACAAGAGTCATGAAATGCGTTTTTTCTCTCTTGAAATTTTGATTCACTTAGGACCAAACCTTGCTTCAGCTGATGGCAAAGGGAGTTATACCCATGTGAAGCAGGATGAGGGCCAACCTGGCAACTGCTGCTTGCAGAGCCTTTGAGTGGCCCAAGCCGATCTGTTACAAGTTTTACAACCTGCTGAAATGTAGCCTAAAGGTGTGGGGCTGGGCTTTTTGTATGGTAGGTTTTAATTTTAAACTTCACTTGCGATTAGAACAGTCTGATCTATTTTTTTAAAGCGTGGTGATTTTCTCTAATTAAGAAAAACTGCACAACTGTCTCTCCATGTGTTTGTGATCTTAAAGCAGACCAACGACACTGTGCACCTTTTTGGTTTGTAGTAAGGTTATTTGCAGAATTACTATCACCAGGGTGGCACGAGCTGTGCATAAAAGTCCTAAAGTCTGCCATGCATGAGGTTATCATGAAGTAGCTGAGTTTTTTCCTTTTGAGGGGGAAAGGGATGCTTCTCTTCATTAGGAGAAATAATGACTGTTGATGTATTGCTGTCCCAAAGAAACAGGAAGGGATCTCTTTTTTATTTTCATATGAGTCCCCAGACAGCTCAGTGCTTAAGCATACACTTAAAAGGAGGTATCTGCCTTAAAAGCTTTATATTCAGGACAGTATAACATCATAGGAATTCATAAAACAATTGTTTAAATTATCAATAACACAGATTTTGAATGCCAGAGCAGTTATTGGCCTTGGAGTGAAATTTCAATATATTCGGAGTGAAAGGTGGAGACCGTAGTTAAACATTTGGCCTGTCCATGTTTATAGCGTCTTAATTAGCTGTGATTGTGACTGGGAGGTCAATGCTAGGGTAGAAAATAGTTTCCTGCT